AAATCAATGATAAAAACACTGATCTAACAAATGACAATATGTATATCTTTGGATTCATTTTTTTACACTCATCATGATAAATTAAAAAATATGTGTAGTTCTATTTGTAAATTAAGTTCCCTCAATTTCTCATAAAATACAAGTGATAAAATGGAAATGAATGCATTCATCAATTACCCCCATTCCCTCATACACTTCTGTGAAAACTGCTGTGCAGTATTTTCAACTTCTCAAAAAATTGCAGGAGTTGCTAAAGTTTTGTAACTCTCTGTATAACCTCATCCATGTATGGTAAAGGTTTCTGATGCTGTTAGTCTCTCGAAAGATTATTTTCCATTCTGTTCCAATTGAATCTTTTTTCCTGTATGTTTTTTATCATTTTGTTTTGATTGCTATTTTACCTCTTAGCAAGAAGTGGTTGGAACTTATATCCATTCCTGTCATCACTCTTACGTTCTGGAATAATATCCCAGTTTTTCATTTGTTATTAATTGTTATTAATTTGGAAATATTAATCTATTTCCACTGGTTGTCCAGGTAAATTTGTGAATTTCGTTATGTCTAAAACTGGAATTTTTTTCTCTTAGCAAGTTAATGTTAACAAAATCTCTAAGCATTTTTCTATTTTGGTTTATTACGACTTCTTCAATAGTTCCAATATGTGTGGTTTTAATGAACTAACTGTTCTATTCTAGCATTAAACTTCTGCTATTATCATGTAGTAATTTTTATGTATGGAATCAAGTTTGTAAGCATTCATAGAAGTTGGAGTCGTCTTTCCTACCGGCTTCTGAAACATACTCAGATACCCCCTTTGATATTTTGAATGTACACATAACTATTCTTTCTGTCATCCATCTATAAGATATCCTTATTTTCCAATTTTTACTTTCTAAAATTGCCACTCCCGCTATTGCCCTACTTTCTACAGGTACTCCAGTAAATATCATAGTGTAATGACTGAAGTTGCATTTCCCCCCCCCCTTTTTGCCCCCCCTTTTTTGTTTTGTTTTGTTGTTTTCCCCGGTGATGTTACTAAATCCAGTTTTGCATCCAGGGCTTTTTTCTCTAGTTCATGTTCTTTGTGAGCTAGATCACACACATTCCATGCTTCTATAATCTGATACTCCTAGTTGTCTATCCTTTGTCCTTGCATAGGTAGTCGTCATTGTGTTCTATTTACTGTCATTGAGTGAACCAATAACTAAATTCTCTCCTGGCTGTGCTACGAACTCTGCCCAGGGAAAGATTTTTAATGGAGGCTGCCATTTCACTGCTTTAAAACAAGCAGGATTTGTTTAAGATTTTCTCTCCTAGACTGACTGCTGCATCTTCAGCTGTGTGGTGACTACCTACCCGCCACCAGCACACAACGATATTCATTTCGTGGTACACTTCTGTAGTTTCTACCCAGAGTCCTCATCTTGTCACGTTGAGGTCCTTTTATCTACTTTGACCTGCCCAGCAAGGGAGGCCTACTAGTAGCTACACCACCGCCAGCATAGGTCTCAGGGTCATCGGGATACTGAAGCCCCACTACAATCAAGGTCATGATCTCCTTAAGAGGGACCTGCAAGACACTTAACTTTTCCTAAGAAATTTCAGTTACAACTTCAAGGAACAGAGATTATTCTTATTTCACAATGACATAATCCTAAATTTTGTAGGATGTTAAACTTCTATTTGCTGTCATTAGCCGTGTCTTTGTCATGAAACTTGTCTTTCCTATTGACAGTTTTCTTGTTTGATTTACTTCTGTGACTCTAAACTGGTTGTTCAAATATTTCTTCTTGATGTTTCTTCTGCATATTTTCTTCAAACTCATCTAGATCATCAAAATTGTACTATGGAAAGTACATCAGAAGAGTCAGCATAAACAATATCACCTTCAAACCCACAACTCATAGAACTATCTTGTGTGTAACATATGTCTTAAGATAGGTAATGGAATTTTGTAAAGAACTCTTCTCTCTGAAAGCGAACTCAGAATCATCAGAATATCTCCAGTAAGACCTATCTTCAGAAGGATGGCAAATAAACGAAATCATAAATGATTAATCTGAAAACAAAACTTAACATAGTTTTGAAATATTAGTAATTTTAAATTAAATCATGTTAATTTTCTAAAGTTGAATATCACTTGTATTTAATACTTCATTAGTGCTTTGATTTTGTCTATGATTATCACTTTGTTCTTGTACTAGCACCCATATGCAGCTCTAGAAACGAGTGGCTATCGCCACGCCTTACAAATCTGAAGGCCAGAATACAAATTCCATGATTTCCATGGGAAAATTTTATTTACTTTAAATTCTATCCTTGAGTAATAGTAAAGTGTGCTTTTAAATGTAGTACACGTCCGAGTTTCATTAAAACCTGAGAACATTCAAAATTGAAAATTTAAATCTCCTGCACTTTTACTGAAGAGATCTTCTATCAGATGGCTGAAGAATTAGTAGCTTGTAGTTTGCATTGTAATATTACGTATCGGTTACAAATAATCTGAGGAAGTATGCGATTAGAACACCACTTGTTCTTTATTGCCTCTTAGAATATTACTTAACAATTATTATTATTAACTTTTTGCTTATGTTTTCTAGGGTGTGTCACCCACGAAGTCTGGAATTCTCCCTCTAACTCCAGTTGTAGATGTGGATATAGTTGGGCCACCGACCTCTTCAGTTCATGCATCACAAAGTAAGTACCCAAAAGAGCAACCAAACGAAACATTTTTAGTAACCGAAGCAATATCAATATGAATGGTATTGATTTATTTTAATATGAGAAAGAAATTTGAAAGTTGACCATGGTTTATGTACCTGATGAAGTGATGATATTTTACAAACAAAATGTGTTGTTCCACTATTTAAATAATTACATCCTTCTTTTTTTTTCTGGTCACTGAATTGATTGTCAATCTCAACATACCTACAATTCAGAAAAAAGGTAATGGAAATATACCAATTATGAAACTAAAAAAATAAATAGTATGAGAGTCCTTTGGATTGAATTCAGCCTAAACAAACATCTACAAGTAAAACATGCACGGTAAATAAGAGGCATATCAATTCAAACTCATAATAATGGTAACATATAAGATTTATTGCTGAAATTAAAACAAGTCAACATTGATCATACAGTGTTGGAAGGATGGAGAACGAACTATTTTACTTAATCTGGTGGCAAGCAAAGACAATACCAGTATTCACTTAAAAGTACCCTAGAAAACCAGAGTCAGCATAGGGGTACATAACATATGTATCACGACGAGACAGTAAAAGATGTTGACATGGCACCTCACAGCAAACTGAAAATAACATGTAAAGTATTAATGGGCCAAATTATTCATATTCAAAATAATTAGACTTGTATATCTTAAGTACATCACTTGATTAAGACATTAATTACATTTACCTTTCAAATTGGTTTGTTATCAGAGACTGCCGAGCAGCATCATTTACAGCTCTTCTCCTATCTGGTTTTTGTTAGCTATTTGTCCTTCCATCAGAAGTTGGAGGCAAGGGACAGGCTGAACAAGGTCTGGATCATCAGGTGGATCTTGTTCTCCCTGCTAGCGTAGGATGTGGACTACTGCAGTAGCCACAATTACAGGAAATATGTTTTTTAATTTTAATCTTTTGCTAGAGCGAGAACAGGAAATCGCCTCTTTCATATTCCAAAAAGGCTTTCCACATTTCTGGAACAAATCTGTAAAGTATTAATGGGCCAAATTTTTCAGATTCAAAATAATTAAACTTGTATACCTTAAGTATATCACTTGAATAAGACAATAATTGCATTTACCTTTCAAAATGGTATTATATAAATTTCCAGCTGGGGAACGAGGATTTTCAAGAGGGGCCACCATGTAAGAGGTTGATGCTTTTCCTCCATCTACCAACAAAACCATCCCCATGTTCCCCTCTCTCAAACATTGCATGCCGAGCACAAAATTGTTGTTGTTGAAAATTGTGTTGTGGTGAGTGGACAAGGCCATCTGGTAACAATATCTGTAAACTCTATTTTCAATTTACATATGGCCTGCATGTTCAAAGAAAAATAATTTTTTCTATTTCGGAATAGCTCAGCAATTTCTCCCCCTGCATATAAAAACCAAAGCCACTGCTCTCAGTGGAAACAGCACATTAATTTAAATTTCTGGAATATTTTTAGAAAAGACCTTTATTTACCAAGAGAAGAAATCCTAATGTGAGTGCACTCCATTGCACCAATAGCTTTGTGAAATCTCGCTATTTCATAAAAATTGGGTTGTTCCGTCTCTGAGGGAATGTAATGAACTCCTCTCATAGGGAGGCAATGGCAACACTAACTCTCTGAATGATCCTATGTATTGTGGACTTGCTAATTCCCATATAGTCACCCATGGTTAGTTGGGAACATCCTGTGGCATAAAATCTTACAGTAGTCAGCAGCTGTCCCATTGGCAATACAGAAGTATTCCTAGAAGAGAAATGGCAACAAGTTAATAAACGAATACTACACGTGTACGTGTGAATCACATTTTCATATTTACCATTATTGCTTCCCTCACCTCATTTGATGTGGATCATGCTCTTATAAAAAAATTACCTCATTACATTACGTTACTTAAATAATAATAATAAAAATATTGCATTTATAAAACAAAATCTATTACATTTTATATTAATAACATAGTTATTAAATAAGTTTAATTTCATTTGTAATGGCCATACCTATCAGAAGAATATTCCAAATCAGCTTCAATTCTTTCAAGTAGGTAAAGTGCTGATGCTTTGGACAAACGGAACCTCCTGACAAAATCCCGATCATCATAATTGGAAAACCAATCCATTCTCTCCCTCACCCATCTTGGTCGTCGCACATTGGTGAATTATATTCATCGTCGCTGGAACCATGTTCAAATGCCATCATTCGCAATTGTTGCGCCATAACACTTCGCTGGTACTCACTACATATGCACATAGAAAACTTACTCAGAACAGTTCTTACTCAGAACAGAGATATTCTGCAGGGTAGAGAGTTACTCCACCGATTTTTGCTGTGTAAAATTACTCTCATGTAAACTGATTTGCTCTCAAGTAAAGTGTTGGTGAAATTCTCCTATAAGTTACTCTCGAGTAAACGTGATTTACATCAGAGTAAACTCTTACTCCTTGTTTGGTGAAATCAGCCGTGAGAGGTATACTATGTTCCGATGTTAAGTGTGAGTTGTAAAATATATTGAAATTCGTTATAGTTTTCGGTCAGATAATAATATTTCATTTTGATACTTTTGATATGTATTTGTAATTGGAAGATGTTGAATTATACAGTTCAATCTACTACTTTAATTCATTTCTATTACCTTTTTCAGAAGGAAGTACAATGAAATCTGTAGGTTCAGTGTCAAGTTTGAATGAGGTACAGACTGCCGCTAGTACCAAAACTGTGCCAGATCCTACTACAACATTACTGGAAGATCAAAGTAGATTTGCTGGTAATGTTTCCAAAATGTTAAAAATTGTAATTTTCTTTGTATTTATGATGATAAAGATGATTGTTGTTGTTATTGTTATTTTTAACTTGTAGAGATTAATCAAGACAAGATGTCTGAATCATCTTCTCAAGGAGCTATTTCAAGTGGTCCTCAGCAGCTTTGTGACATGTGTTCCAATTATGAAGCACAGTTGGTTAAATCACAGCAACAAACTCAGGAATTAGAAAAACAACTCGCTTCCCAGGAAAGAACTTTACAGCGGTATCGGGAGGATCTTGCTAAAGAGTCAGATTTCAGGAAAGAAATGGAAGAGAAATGGAATGAAAAGAAGGAGGAACATAAAATGCAGGCTGGTACCAATTTTTACCAAGAAATGTTTTAACTCTCTTCTTCAAAACTTTCAATTTTTCTACTTTTCTTGTCAATTTTCCATTTTTTTATTTTTTTCCCCTCCAATTTAAAACTTTTTTTTTTTTCATTAATTATTAAAAAGAGGTTTATAAGTGTTTAGTAAAATTCAGCGCCAGTAATGAAAGCAGTATTGTGCAATAAATTTTAAAATATCCGTCCAACTATCCCTGTATTTCAGGAAATTGTCAATTTCAAGGACCTATCATATTTATACGAATGTAAGACAACCCCTTAATGTTCAAGAGGGCTATTGAGTATTTTTTTTTTTTTTTTTTTTTTTTTGTTTAACTAATTCTTAAATTTTAGTGAAAATAAAAATCCAAATTGTCTTATTGACTAGAAAATTGCTGTGATGAAAATGTTAAGACTTATTGCTGAACTTGTTTCTTAATATTATCATAATCATGATATTTATCACTACCCTCATCTTCACATGAATTAATGTTTCTTTTTTTTGGGAGGTCCTCTTCTATCCTGCGACATCATCTGAGTTTTAGGCCCCTCTGAAAGTTTTGCACATTAAATTTATGTCTTTGTCGAACATATTACGTCAACATTTATGAGTTTCACGATGGAACAGCAATGTAAAAACTTAAACCCTAACTGACTAGGTCTAATCTGTGAATATAAGACCCCGTGTTTTTCGAGTGAGATATTTAGGAAAAATCCTTGTCCTATATTCAGATAAACACTGTATTTCATATTATCATTCGAATTTAAGGCATCAAAATTTGTGAGAATAACCTGAATCATCTCAATCAGTACGGAGTGGATCTTTCAGCTTCGCACATTTTAATGTGATGTAACACAAAGAGAAATCAAGAAGAAAAGGTAAGTATGTTCTAAAAAGAAAACAACTATCAACATCTCTTACTAATATCAGTATTACCAAGTTTCATTACTTCGTTGGTATTCCTTTTAAAGAGTAATTTTCTTTGTTTGGCAATGTAATAATCTTCAAAGATAATCATTACATTGCTCAATGCAAATCTTGCTTGATTTTCTTGAAAGATGGCAAGTATCTTCTACATCACAGGATTGGTTACTGTTTGAAACGGATAACATTACTTGCATTGACTTCATGATTTTCTTCTCCCATGGCCATTCTAAAATTTGTTTCTCCATTGAGTTAACATGGGGCTTAGTACCATAGATGACACAATTCTTTGTCAGAAATAAATCCATCCTGGATTGGAATTTTATGCACATTTATGCATTTGAAATGTTGTTGACCACAGCGTGCACTGCCACTACGATATTTTGTAATCTGATGAGTTTGCGAGACTAATTTTTTTGTGTTGGTAATGGAGGAGACATAAGTGTTTAAGTGCTCTTCTTTCCTTGTCATCCAATCAGTGGTAGTTTGCCAGGGTTGCCCTCTTTGAAGGTTGATTGGATGATCATGAAGGATGAAAGATTTTAACAAATGTTGAATGGTTTTGGATGGGATTACAGATGTTCAAATGTGATAAGTGATGGACAATGCCAAAACCTGTTGGTGAAAACGTCCATGCCTTCCACCTGACAAACCTGTCAGCTTTGGTAATCTGCACTTGGGTATTGCATGAAGCCATATCTCGGAAGTCAATATGTGGGTGGGGATGGGGTTGAATGGGCTTAATTTTAATTTCAGAGGAGGGTATGAAAAGGAAATGGGCTGCTGAGGAACATTTTTTATATGTTGCCACTTTTTGTCTTATCAATATATCTGTTATGATGCCATTGTCAGTGCTATTGCCAATTGTTATAGGTGGCAGATTTGAAGGAGAAAATGCAGACAGCTGAAGAAGCTTTAAATGAATTGCGACAAACATATTCTCAAACTATAACTGAAGTAACAGATCAGTTGGTACGTCTTTCCCAGGATCGTGAAAAAGTTCAGAAAGAATTGACGAGGTATGTGTTTAAAGTTTTTGTCCAGTTTTTTTTCAATAGTATTCAAATTTGAATAAAATTAAATTTGTCAGAAGAGATAAAATAAAGGTAACATGATATTATTTTCATATTATTTTAAAAAGTGATTTATATTTTCATGAGTTGATACTGAACACTAAATAATAGAAACTAAAGCTCTACTCATGCAATGCACACAATGAGGAATTAATGTTATTTTGATTTTGAAGAAGAGTTGTCCAAGTGTGCTTTGCAAAATTACTTCTGATATATTGAATGTTAAATGTAAAATTAAAAAGGTGTTTAACATAAGACTAAATTTAAAGCATAGTGAACTTCAATGCAAAGATACCGATTGGAGAGATATCCATGTTTTCAACAGTGATAATATTCAATACAATATCCTTCAACTGTTGGAAGGAGACCATCTGGTTCAGTGGTATAGACTTCCTAAATGTAATCCGCATAAACCTCTGCGATTCTTGTCTGGTCAGTTATCAATTCACCTCCTACAGCCAAACACATTAGCGGGCCAGTTTTGTACATCGTTCGACTTCTAATATATGAGTACATTTGCTTCTTTCCCTCCTGAATATAGTCATCCTCATATTTCATCTTTCGTTGTCCACTCAGTTTTATGATTTCGTTATTAATTCCTTGGTAGATTTTGTAATCCTCCGCCTGTCAAGGTGGGTCAGTCCACAACCTGATGAGGGGATGCTAGGAGGGCTCTCAAGTATCCCTTTCACCACCATAAGTACTGCCTGTCTGGCACTTGCCATAGAGGAAGCATATGGGGAGCTCCCAGCAGTTGTACGTCAGAGGAATGGAACAATTCTTTTTGAAGCATGTACCGACGAGCAAATAGAGAATCTTCCAAAAACCAAAACAGATTGCCGGCCTCCAGGTGGTAGTGGCGACACACCCAACGAGTCTGCCACGACGACTTTGCTTCAGAAAATGAACTAATTTCATTTTTCAAGAGTCAAGGTGTACGGGATGGTTGCCAAATTGTATGGGATCAAAAAGAACGAGCAGGGGAAAGTGATCCCTACTCAAACCCTGATTCTTATCTTTGACTGTCCGTCCCTCTTGGAAAGGATCAGTTGTGGTTTCTACAACCTCCATGTCCGACAGTATGTACCAAATCCTTTGCGTTGTTTTAAATGTTGAAGGTTTGGGCATGCCCAGCAATGATGTATATCAGTAAGCCCATTATGCACTGCATCAGTGCACAGTCCACATCCCTGCACTACCCACCGCACTGTGTCAATTGTGAAGGTGGCCATTCAGCCAACTACAACTAGTGCCTTTCCTTTCTCCACAAAAGAGATTCAGAAGATATGAATCACCAAAAGGTTTCCTTCCCTGAAACTAAATGTCGGCACCAGGTTAGAAATCTAGAAGACTTGTCACAATCCTCCAGTATTTTAAAGCCCAATTCCTCAGGGGAAACAGCAAGTTCTTAAAAACCATGTGCCTGGGCTGTGGTAGTGCACTTCAGTTCTTCAGGTGTCACGTAAAGTGCATCCAAGGTGGAAAGGTAATAATACCAACAAAGTTTTAAAAAAACTAGCCAAAAACTCCACGAGATGCAGATCACTTCTACTGAGCCCCTTAAGGAAATAGACTCCATTCAGATATTGCTTCTGAGCAAAAACTCTTTATCAAAGTCCTGTCCACTTTGAGCAGTCCTCGAGCCCCTGTAGATCTCGGTCGCCTGTGGGGAAAAAAACGAGAAATCCCACCAGCAGAGGCCACCGAATCCAGCAGCAGTCAGGATGACCCTTCTGTTGACGAGGAGCACCACAAGAGTTTTTGTTGTGTTAGATTGAACGTACGGGAAAGTAAGACCGCATCCTAGAGAGCTTATATTTTATCACTCTCTTGTTGTACACCCTCTAAAGTATTGTGGCGAAAGGTTTGACAGATTAGTGGACACTTTCCTTTGCCATTTGTCCCAGAGCTTCTGGTAAATGGAAACCTTCTCACCTCAGCAGAAAATATACATTAAAAACTGGCCTCTCACTACGAGCATACCTCCTGTTCCCTACACTACTGTCCTGGCTTTCTGAAGACCAAAAGAAGAATGGAAAACTGCAGGCTAGATTTCTCGAGTTACGTGGAGAAAGATAACAATGTTTCTTTTTCCTGTGGATGAATTTCCCTGTGCCTCTGGAAAAGAGTCTGCTCCAGGACCATACGAAACCTAATACATAATCAAATGCTTAAAAACCTACTGGAAAACTCTCTTACTTTTCTTCACTGTCTTTTTAACCTGATTTGGGTTGTATATTCCTGAACTTAAGGATTTGGCGTGAAGCTGTTGTTTTTCCAATCCTTAAAGAAGGAAAGGACTAAACAATCCCTTCAAGATACCATCCAATCACGCTCACAAGCTGTGTGTGCGCAGCTTTTAGAGTCACTGGTAAACATGTTTGGTCTGGCTCCTGGAACAAAGGCATCTTTTTATACCTTTTCAGTGTGATTTTAGGAAGTGCATGCCACTTAGTCTTTCTTGCCACACAGATCTCCACTACTTTCGTGCTACGACAACACCTGGTACCAATTTTTTGACATAGAGAAAGTGTTTGACACTACTTGGAGGTATGGCATTCTAGGGGCCTTTAGGGGAGATTTCCTTTGTTTCTAGTAGATTTTCTTTTGTCAAAGTGTCTGCTTTGGTGACACGTTATCCCCAAATCGCCAGTTAGACACACAGGGATCAATTCTGAGTGTTACTGTGTTTGTCATTGCTGTCAATAGTATCACATCAGTAATTCAAGAGGCTGTGAAAGAATCACTCTTTGTTGAAGACTGACATACTATGCTCCTTGATGAGCATGCAAGTTATCGAAGGGAAGTTACAGCTTGTCCTCAAGAAACTACATGAATTGAGCGATAAAACTGGATTCAAGTTCTCCACCTCAAAATCCAGTTGCATGCACTTCTGTAGAATCTATCACTTCCATATTCATCCTGATCTTTGGGGGGGGGTATCAACATCCTTTCATTGGATCTGCAACTTTCCTGGGCATGACATTTGATAAGAGTTTAACATGGCAAAAGCATCTTCAAAACTTGAAGAGCCGATGCTCATGACTAGGGGACGGATTTTAATGAACTGTTAGTTTTTAATTTTTCCTTTAAGACAATGCCATTTAGTATAGAAATTCCTTTTTTATATTCCAGCATTATAAAAGAACCTTACGTGTTGCAAGAAATTGGGCATTTTATGGCACAAATGATGACGTATTAGATTTTGTCACGAATGATTGCGACATCACACAATCAGCCAATCATAGCAAGAGAAACAGTGGGAGGTAGAGCTAAACACAACAGCCGACCACCATTTACTCGCATTATGTCAAATACCCGAGTCGTCACAGGGAAGTTGTTTCGCAAAATTAAGTTTGATTCTCTTATAAATGTATAAGCTGTTAATACCAAAAAATATAGTATGCAAATCGTTTATAATGTTGCTTTATTTACATTCGTACAAATTTGACTACTCGCACCTAAAGTTGCTCATTTTCAAACATGTACTCCTGCAATAAAGCTTAACATTAAACTCAATTGCAATAAACTCTATTATGTCATGGCAAAGGGAAACTAACAATTACTAGAGGTCTTTCTTTCGCGGGTTTTTTCAATCGATTTCAACCCACCATAATTCATTTTTTTACCCTCTTATCTCCGTTTTTAAATGCATGTTTTTGCTGATTATTATTCGACGTTTGATATCATTTTAATAGTACTTGCTTCAAATAATATTGACGAAGTGCAATAAATGTTCTCCACAGAATTTCTAAGTAGCGTATTAGATTTCTTCGCACCTATATTGTAATGTCAACCGTTGAGAATATTATGTAATCTAAGGTTGCTGTGATGCTTATCAGTGCCATTGTCAGTTCAGCCAATTTTGCGATACATAAAGGCAGTTATTTTCTTTTAAAGAATATCAAACCAAGCAAGCTGAGCTCACTTAAACAAAAGGAAGAAACCTCGATTACATCAGTAACATATCTAATAGCTTGAGTTGTTAATCTGAAATTCTTTTGATCTCATTTTGTACATCGTTTTTCTTTGTTTTTAGGCCATATTTAAAGCTTTGTAAGAGCTTTATATTGATCATTTCTGGCAATGTTTTAGGTCATCAAAATTCGCCTCCTTTGTATCACTACTGAACCTCCTTCGCACCCTTACTGGTAGATCAGGGGGCACAGACAGAGAATATCTCTTGCACCTAAATAGGACTATTATTCGTCCTGTCTTTGATTATGGATTAATTGTTTATGGGTCAGCAACTCTGTCTGTCCTCCGGTCATTGAATACCATTCACCATAACGGTGCATGGATCAGCACTGGTGCCTACCGCATGAGTCGCATTGAATGCGTCTTTGCTGAGGCTGGTGAACCATCCACAAGCTGAAGGCGAGGTATAGTAATTGGCTCCTATGGTCCGAAAGTATCAGCTAAAAAGACTTTCGCACCAAGTAGTCCTTCACCCTAGTCACAGGACATGTATACACTCAGACTATCTTTACCCCATCCTCCAGGTATCCATCTCTACATGCTTTTGCAGAAACTCAATACAATACACACCTTCCCTGTGATACCCCCTCCCTCCCCCCAGTCGTTTCCCCCTTGGAAGCTTCTCCGGCCTAAAATAGACCTGAGATTATCAAACTTTCTCAAATTCTCAACCCCCCGCCCCCTACATTTCTTGCGGAATTTCAGGGGACCAAATCCATGTAACACTGATGTTTTCTCCTAAAATAGTAAAGGAGGATGTGTCTTCTACTGCCATAGTGTCACATAGAGTCTTCAAATAGGCTGTTCATGCAGTGCTTACACTGCTGAAAAATATGTCCTCTTGGAGGCACTTAAGTTCACTGAAACGACAAAATTTAAGGAAGCAGTGATCTGCAATATATATGAATGTTGGAATAATAGGGAACAAAATTGATGACCTGGCTTCAAAACTTGTCACAAAGCCACAAAGAAAACTGAGGTAGACATCCTCACAGATCCAACAAATGATACTAAGCTGTTATCAAACAAACCACTATTCTCAGTGCATTGGAAACAGAGTGGCAGAACACGGATTTTAAACTCACAAGAATGAAGGATTCCATAAAGCCTTGCTCTTGCTGATCTCGTGGTTCTAGATGCGAGGAGATTATTCTAACACCCCTTTGGATCGATCGCTGTTATTTCGCCCACGGAAATCTTCTTTCGTCAACATAGATGTTGTTTGGGCAGCTCTCTACTGTATATATTCAGCAATGATGAGTCCTCATTCTCAAACTACTTTTCCGTTGTGCAGGAAAGTGGTGGTGTGTGTGTGTGTGTGTGGTGTGGGTTTATTATTATTTAATATGCATGATCTTGCATCTCTAAAAGTCTTTTTATTACACCTGTATTATGATTTTAATGAATTGGTCAGGATCATAGCTGACTTATCATAGCTGATAAAGCGCCCTTCAAGCCTCAGTCAGTCCCTTGGTTTTTTTTGTTGTATGAATGGGCATTTCCCAACCACCGTGTAATACCTTAATAACCTTAATCCTTCCCGACCTTCTCCCTGGCCGAAGATACGCATGCACAAGACACAGGTGACTGCCAACATACCTCCCATAGTTCCTTAATGGGTCTAATGGCAGTTCATGAGCGCCACCTGGCCACTATCAAACCTCACAAGGTTCGTGTGCCTCCATGGGCTTATGAGCTATCAGCAGCATCAGTTCTAGGTCGCAATGAGCTTATTGTTGTGTTAAGGAATGGGAGCTAGAGTTAAGGGTTTCAAACGGCACTGGAAAGGTATAAATGAGAGCTGCGAGCAATAGTTTATATCCAAATTATTGAAGTACACATTAAATGTCAAATTATTTCTTTGCAAGTTTCTTGGCCTCTTTTTCAGATTGCAGTTGGAAAATGAAAATTTGGTGGGAAAACATAGTGCGCATTCCCAACAACTTCAAAATGAAATGATAAATCTTCCTGATAAAGTGGAAGTGAGTATTGAAAATTGTTTCTGGGTTTTTAGGGTAAGGAGTGTGTTTGTGAATTGAATCTACAGTCCCTGGCCATATTATTAGACGCACCCTAAATTTTTCCAATTAAAAATTCACGTTTTGTGACGAAAAATGTATTTTTTTTTATTTCTAAACAAAATACATTAAGTAATATTGAATATACGATAGAAACAAGATATCATATGCAAAATTATGACTGTCACTATAAATATAAACTAATTTTCATAAAAAAATCTCCATTCACATGTATATCTTTAATACTTTTTCAGGCCACCTTTGGCAGCTATTAGAACTTTAATTCTTTTTGATATGATATTAGTGCATGCCTGACAGTTTTCTTGCAACTCTGGATGATGGTACCAGACTTGAATTATTTTCAAGGAGAGCGAATTTTTGTTGTTATTTCTTAATTTCCGATTTCCCTCTTTATGAGCTCCCAAACATTTTCTATTGGGTTCATATCTGGTGAATTTCCTGACCATTGTAACACAGGAATATTTTTCTCCAAAAAAAATGATCGACTCTTCGAGCAGTATCACATGGAACCTCATATTGCATAAAAATCAAATGATTCTTCATTTGAGAACCATCCTGTAGTTGAGGCAGCAGTCTGTTTCTCCAATACTTGCTTGTACTGGTCTTGTTTCATGATGCCCTTAACCAAGTACAGACACCGTGCCTTTCCACTGATCACTGAGCAAATCATTGCCTTTAACTGGCATGTTTCACAATCTGAATGATACTTTTCACCTTTCATGCTGTTTGCTAGATTTCGAAAGTGCATTCGTCGCTAAAACAAACCTTCATTACAAGTAAATGACATTAGAATTAATTTTGGTAGCCATTTATACTTATAAAAAAGCACTAGACTAAATTTTTACGATTTCCAGAAGTCCAAATCTTTATTCTTAAGGTTCTTAGACCATGCAAACGTTTTTCTTTCATACCAACTGTTAATCTGGGTTTGTGGCTGGTCTACAAGCTTTTAAAATTCATTTGTAGTAGTGTACACCTTACTGTCCTTTCAGATATACAGATTCCACTACTTTCCAATTTAAATTTAATTTGTTTAGTAGTAGCAAACTGGTTTCAAGGCAAATCTTCCTCAAACATCTCTCAGATCTTGGTGAAAATATTCTCTTCCGTCCACATGTGTTCTTCCTTCGTGGGATAATTCTTCACAAGGACAATTTTTTTCTTAATTCGCCGAATAGATGTCTCGAATGCGTTCAACCTTCGAGATAACTCACGATTTGAATAATTTTCTGAGTCAACAAAAGCTTTCACTGCTGCAATCTTCTGATGAGACAAATCACTTGCCTTTCCCATTATTTTTATTCAAAACTATCAGTTTTTTGTATACAAAATTCACAATTTTTAAATAAACACGGCTATACCTATTTCACAAACTAATAAATGGAAAATAACCATCTCATGCAACAACAACACTACTCATGACACCCCTTGTTCTACTCAACTTTTTAATTTGTGCGTCTAAGCAACAATGAGGTGTCACAACAATGGTACATAATGACAAATAATGTGTTAATAATGTGCGTCTAATAATTGGGGCCAGGGACTGTAAATATGTCTGTTAATGGTACTGTAATTACCTGATTTATAAGCATTCAGGAGTAAACAATAGTATCTAACAGTTTGGGTTAAATTGAGATTATTCATTTTTATGAAGAAGATGGAGTAGCTTCATTTATATTCAGTAAACACTCATCATTGCAAATTGCAAGGGATCAAAGAAGTCAGAGTTCGTAGCATACAATGTACTTGTACTCTTATCTTATCCTATTCAGAAAAGGAAACTACCACTTTTCAATCAACTTGCATTTATTCCTGTGTGTATTCAACAATTATTTTCATTTAAAAACCATAATATTTTTTTATTACATTGATTGTTCTTAATTCAAGGAAGTTTATTATACAACCGTCCGCGCTAGGACCCTACATATCCTGTCTCCTTGTAAGATGCCCTTAATGTCCTTGTTGTTCAAGAGTAGAAAGTAACCCACCAATACAGATACTCTGTTGACGTAGCATGTATATTGTCACCAACCCATTCCAAGTATCTTGAAGTCTGATGAATAACATTTGCTAAATTTACAATGCTGGTTATTTATTAGAAGTTATACAGGATTAGTGAAATGGAACATTTGTGCATAGTGTATAAATTCTACCACAAATTGGAATGACACCTTGGGTTAATTAATGTATGCAAATTATTTCTGTGAATCGTATTTGCATAAATTATTGTTAAAGCTTAGACTCCCACGGCTGGAGTCAGTACCTACTTGGCTGTTCGGGAGGCACCACATCCAAGACAAAGATGGCAATGTTTTGGTCATCAAAAATTTGAGTATTTTTTTAAAAAAATTTAAAATGTCGCAGGGGCATCATATAAAGTCCCCCCTCCCCTAAAATTTAAAAAAAATGTATTCAAACTCGCAGAGCTCTGACCTGATCAACTGGGGAATATAAGCTGCTATAAGCACTCAAAAGTTGGTTTAAAAAATTGCTTGTAATTATTTGTAGAAGCATAAAAACACTCCAGAAGCATGTAAATGGTTTATTATTTACAAAAGAAATTAATATATTTGTTCAAAAAGAACAAAATTACCCAGAAATAAAAAAAGCACCCAATTTACACATTTTGATTGCTTTTTTATTTCTCAGTTAATTTTTCTGCTCCTCTTAATACTCTTATGTCTTGGCATTTCATATGAGATCGCTGTCTTAATAAAAAACTATCAATTATTGACTTCATATTCCTGGTAGGTTGGGTCATGTATAATTACGGATGCCTTTGTGTCTATAACACCCACTCATGATTTTGAGATCCATCTGGCTACATAAATTTATTAATCTCTCTACATTTTTATTACATATTTGCTCTCCATAATTACCCACTATATTATTATTCTGTTTACTTCCCATTTGGACATTTAAGTCACCGAATATTAGAACTTCCTTACTTGAAGGAATGTCTTCTAATATTGCCACTAATTCATCTTCAAATGAATCTTCTAAAGTTTTTGTTGCATCTTCAATTGGAGCATATGCTGATACAATTACCATAGTATGACCAAATATATCTAACTCCACCCTTTCTATGCTTTTTGTGGATTGCTACTGATCCTCCTCATTTAGTCCTGTTGTCTTTGTTTACACCACTATAAATATGGATATATTTGCTGTAGTCTTCAGTTCCTCCTCTTTTCTTCTTAGTTGTGTTAGCAACCAAGACTATATTAAATTTTTCCAACTGATTGAATACTTCTGGATACTTTTTGCTAATACCTGTATGTTCCACATTGCCATTTGCATTTTCCAATTTCGTTGCTTAAGTAGTCTTCAATTGGGTCCATTTAAAGGCTGTTTAGAGTTTTTAACTTATTTATGATTTTTGCGGTAATGGGGTGTTGGCCCATAGCCCATCCTCCAAGCTGGCGGACCAGGATTTTTTTTTCTTTCTTTTTTTCTTCAGAGTTATCTCCCTTAGAGAGGTTGGCTCCACGCCTTTCCGAGTCCTCTCTGCCCACGGTTTTGTTTTAGGGTTTTCCTTCCCTTAGCCTTTGGGGCTCCCGCCCCTCCTACAAGGCAGCAGGTTGGAACCGGAAAAAAAGATGGGCATACAGAGGTAGAAAGAAAGATAGTGGGAGGAAAGATGTATAGAATAGAATAAGGAGAGAAAGATGAGAGGAAAAATCTCCCTAGCACATCGTAACCTAATAGCATGGGGGTCGAAAAACCAAAGAGGTTAAGATCAATGGAGTAGGAAAGAATAAAGGAGTATGGCAAAAAGGAAGAATAGTCATGCTACACTAGTAAAAGGGACTGCCTTTACGACTAGTTGCCTTTGGTGGGGAGAGGTAGAGACATGGGAACCAGGCACAATGAACTTTGGATAGAGGTGATGTAGTCCTGGTAGGTCGTTGCGAGATAACCCTTTGTTTGGCTTCTCCATTGAGACCTGTACAGCACGGGTGCCCCTACCGGTAACATCATTGATTGATTCTCCAACCCATCAACAATGCTCTGTATGCCCTCAGCTTCATAAGAGCACACAAACCTTGTTGCCCAAACGGTCAGTGCTACTTTATGGTGGTGTCTCCTGGAGGAGACTGGCTATATTCATTTTGGAAAAAGTCCTGCAAGTAGTTTAGACACTAGTGTTGTTAACTGATGTTTTGAAAAAATTATCAATATAAGGGAGGTCCCAAAACGTGTATTTCCATTGAAATCTCAAAATCGATTTTCAGCAGCATTACATAACCATCGCTATTCTACTTCTATTAAGTACACACATTTTCCAGAAATCTAGTGGTGCTACCGAATTCCACAAACTTTCTCGTATTAATTTTCTTATCTCTTTAGTCTGATCTACCTTTTCGGAATTGTCCCAACCTAAACTCAGCAGCCATCTGTTGGTGCCTAAAAGACATTTTATCAATTTTTTGGTCTTCTAGTGGTAAAATTGACATTTGACTTTAATGATGTTATAGAAGAGGAAAATATGGTCCTTGGTCTTGTATACAAACTTTAGTTGAAAAATTAGAATCCGTTGTTAAGAAAATGTAATTTGAGAGTGTTTCTGAACACTTCCATTTTGAAGCTCATTTTCACCCAAAACTTATTTCACGTTTACCGAAATTATTGAAGCAATTATATTCACAATTGTGATAATGTATACGAAGTGCCTGTAATGTAATTACTAACGATGTGAGAGATTTTTTTAAAAAAATGGATTTGTGTAATTTGGGGGGGGGGGGAGTGGAAACCACAAAGGAATGCAGCAAATTGGAGTTGATGTGATCTTATTGAGTGAATTTATATATCTGTATTAAAAATAAACTACTAAGAATACAACAAAACAGAGGTTGTCATCTTAAATAATACATTTAGCACTAACTCTACAAAAAGTTTAAAGAAAAAATGACGATCTGTTTTTGAGAAAATGTTGTTTTTAATATTTTTTTAATACACCTATTTCCCTGTAAAATTTAAAAAGGAGTTGCAATTGTTTACTCCTGAATACTTCTATATATATATATGTATATGGAAAAAACATGTTTGTTGAGAATGTGCACTAGTGATAAATTGTTTAAAGGACTTGCATGAGTTACTACTGAAGTTTCATGAAGAGCTTATAGCTGCTAAAGTGGCAAAAGAAGCAGCTGAAGAACAAGTGAAGACTTTCAGGTGTGAAAATCAATTACTCCGTGATCAAATGAGTGCTGAACAGCAAGGAAGGGAAAATATGGAAGATAACCTTACTTCAGAATTGGTAAACCTAAAGTAAGTTTACATTAAAAATAGTGCATTGCCAAAAACTTGTGGATTGTGCTGAAAGGTTTAATTCGTAATTTCGTAATAGGACCCAGCTTGGAGCCTATGAAAGGGATCGTCGGTTAAATCAAGAAAAACAAGAGCAGCTAGAGCCAATTATAGAAAATAACAAGCGTTTGATGGAGGAACTTAAGTCTCAATTGACAGAATCACAGAAGGCCAAGGTAAATAGTTTTCAAAAGTTGAATTAAAAACATTTGGAAACCTAAATTATATGTCAAATTATAGGAGAGTGAAACATTATGCTTCACCACCGTCTGACATTTTTTGACGTACTATAAAAATATTTAATATTTCCTTTTTACTGTTATTAATGTTCAATATCAAAGGTAGTTGTAAGAAATCTATGTAGTTATTTTGTAACAATGTCATGCTCCCAGCAGTTTTCAGGAAGAGTGATTGTGCTTTTTCTATGATTATTAATTTTTTATTCTCTTAACAATATGTTATGAATCATGTCATTGTTTCATAATATTTCTTCTATAGAGCCATTTGGAGGAAATAGTTGCTGAACTGCGTAGTCGTGTTGGTTCTTTACAACAAGAATTGGATAATGCCGAGACTGTGCAACAAGATTTTGTTCGTCTCTCTCAGTCATTACAAGTTCAGCTGGAAAAAATTAGAGATGCAGATTCACAAGTGAGGTGGCAGCATGAAGAAGATGTGGAAGAATGCCCCATATGTCGAAATAGTTTCTCTGTCACAAGAAGAAAGGTGGGAATTTTCATTTTGTACCATAGAATTACTGTGTAAAAAAAATTGATGGAATTAAAAATTCAGTATATTTGCTCTGAAAAATAATAAAATTATTGGCAAGGTAATGTAATTTGTAAATACAAATATGTATGATGTTTGTAAATCAAAAAGGCATGATGCATATTCTATGAACATTTTCCTATCGAAAATGGAATTTGTGTTGCAATATGTACTAGAATATGGATATGAAACAAAAATATAAATGAATATAAAATGTATTTAAAATTGTCCATCAAAATAAATATGGTCTAATCTAATGTTTTTAATTTTATAAACGTAATATAAATTTTTATCAGTGATGGATGATCATGACAATATTCCTCTTGTTCAGAAAATTCTGTTCAAAGTAAATGATTTTAATAATTTTTTAAAATATTATTTTAATATAATTTTTTTTTTTTTTCAGCAACACTGCAGACACTGTGGGAGAATACTTTGTACAAATTGCCTCCCCCACACCGTTCTGAGTGGACCTAGAAAGCGACCTTCTAGGGTGTGTGGCGTGTGTCACACTCTTCTTGTCAAAGACACTGCACCATATTTCAGTACAGAACCACCACATACACCAGACTAAATAAGAACCAGTGTAATGAAATTGGATGCAGGAAACATCTTGTATTTTGGTACCCATTATCTGTGACATATATTTACATAATTGTACATATGAATACTACAAAACTATTACTTAGTCAAGGGAGTAGAAATTAACAGCATCATTTTGTGAACAAATCTTAGACGAGTCATAATTAAACTCTGTATACTTATCTCTTGGTCACTTTTCTGTTGTCTTATGTTGAAAGTCATAGGTCAATATTGAATTGTTAATACGCTGTGTTAACTTTGTGAGTAGAAGTTCTAATCTTCAAAAATTACTAGTCGTTTCCCATTGAGTATATCTTGTAAAGTATTGTTTTGCTTCTATAAAACAATTTGTAAAGTAACATTAAGAAAATTATTGAATTGTCTTATATGATGTGATGCTGGCAATTATATCAGATTCATAAAAAATGTTTATAAAATAAAGTTGGAGAACAGTTCTTACACTTTTGTTAATATATTTTGTTCATCATTTTTTAATGTATTCATCATGTGTGTTGCGTCAAAATTGCAATTGCCAGGGCCAACTGTTGTCTTTATGAAAGTCCTCAAATGTCTCCCATGTAACCAATTCGAAAATTCCAAACCAAACATCTTTCATTCCTTGGCTGTTGATGTTTAATTTCAGTTCTGAAGACACGTTCTAAACATTTCCTGAAAAATGCTCTTAATTTTTTTCTTAAAAAGTTCACAAATCAAAGGCACGGAAAATGTGAAATGCTAGAGATGAAAAAGGTGTTTTGTATATTGTCTAATGTAAAGTGTTTGAAATAATTTAATATAGAATAGTGTAACTCCCCTTTTTCTCATGGGTTAATTATCCCTGGGCTGCTTCCGTGCCATCTTCATCAGCTTGTCCAGCTGCTCATAAACAATATGGGGAAGGACACATGTGTGATCATGACTTGTGCATGTACCTAACACGTTGGAACCAAGGGAATGCCCGTTGAGGTTGGTTGGACCATGTCCTGTCGGGGGAAGCATGTGCTACGACCTGCTTTGCACCAAGGATACGTTCATGAATATTTTGAGAACATTCCTTGTAGGTTTCAAAAACTTACTTTGGCCTCAGACTTATCGACGGGGAGCTGGGAGCTAACCAACCCCTGATCAATCAGCTTGGACTAGATCTTGTTCTCAACTCCAGGCTGAGCAGGGGTTTCTACAGTAGGGCAGCGCTGTTTCCACCCCACCCCCACCCCGTATATCTCCATGTCAACCCTGGCATCTCAGGGAGATGTCCTCTGTAGGACTCCATGGTGGGTAGGGAGAACAGGGATGAATTGCTATCCATTGCAAGGACACTGAATAGTTTTTTTCTTCCATTTCTGAAGAAAACACGGTTTCTTTTAATGTCTTGTGTCGAAGACAAAACATTCAAGAACGTAAGCGCGGTCTGTCTTGCGCGAGAGTCTCAAAAAGCTGCAAGCGGTCGTGGGACAAAGGAATGGTAACATTCTCAATGAAGCGTACACTGACGATCATATTAAGAAGATAATTAACTAAGAACTTTGCCTGTCTCCAGATGGAAGTGGCCACTCAAATCCTTAATCTCTGAGAGTGGTCAACCATGATTTTGCGTTCGCGAGTGAGGAGAAACTGCTCTTCTTTTTCAAAAGCGAAGATGTCATCGGGGTTTTCAGGATCAAGAGGGAGGAGAAAAGGAAAGAGATCCCAATCTGATCCTGACGTTTAATCTCCCAGAAAGGATCATTGCGGTTTCTATAATCAGTTGACATTGCAGTAAGTCCTGAATACATTGCGCTGCTTTAAACGCCAAAAGGTTCAGCCATACGCAACAACATTGCAGGTAGTAAGCCCTGTATGCATCAAGTGTGGCAGAGCAAAACACGGAGTAGAACCCTGCGCTACAGCATTGCGCTGTGTGAACTGTGAAGGAAACCATGTGGCAAACTAACAAGTGCCTTACCCTTTTAATGGAGAGAGATCTAGAAGGTCTCAGCGACATGTCCTTTCCAGAGGCCAAACGCAGTTACTTGACGAGAAACCCTGTAGATATTTATTGGTGGTTGTTGTTGTTTTTTTACACATACAGCGTTGAAGCCTTCGAAGGGAACATGGAGCTGTCAAACCGAAACTTCATCTATGGGCGACGCAGCTTGGGCGGTCTCCTTTGAAGAATTAACTCAAACCACCAACTCTACCGTTCCGTTTGTAATCAAGCCTAAGAAAACATCTGATGCAGCAAATACCATAACTTGCCTGCCAATGAAATCGGGCCCATCTCCAGATCTCGGTCACCCATCAAGGTATCAGGATTCCCCTTCAACGCAGGCCGCCCTCTCCAGCAGTAGTCAGGACGACTTTACTGTGAACGGGGACCTGGCTGCAAGTGCTCAAAGAACTTGTCAGAAAGTGAGGTAAAAGAAACACCTACATTTTAATTATGGCCTATTATATATAGTTTCCGTTCCCATTTATATTTATAATCTACCGTTATAACCCGTTCATTATATGATTGCTAGAAACTCCTTTTCCACCCCAGTATGCGCTCTCTTCGTGATTTTCGCACGTGCCGGCACGACGAAAAGATGTGCATCGCGCCCATGGCGGTGTCGCGGTATTTATTCACGACTCCTTGGTCGCAAAGCAACACCATCCAAGCTGGTCTTCCGACCATGGGCGTACGGCTGGATTTACCTTCAGCTCCACTCACTCTCTGCAATATATATATATATATATATATATATATATATATATATATCCTCCACCCGCACAAACCTCATCACAGAACAACTTGAAGATGTAATCTCCCAGCTGCCCCAGTCTTTCCTCGGAGAAATTTAATTGCCCCCAATCCCGCTTGGGGTGAAACGAGGTCTTGCCTGAGAGGTACTATTCTTGAAAATATTGACTTTTCCGTGGCTTCAAACACTCGCCAATCGATCTGGCACTCTGCAGTCCATTTCTATCTACTATTTTAGAGTGAACCGTTCTCGATGATATACAGGGGAGTGACCATTTTCCTACTCTGGTCCACGTTGATATTCCTCATTAGAACGTTACCCACCCACCTCGCTGGCTAATCTATCGAGCTGTCTGGAAAACACTCAGCAAGAAAATTAAAATACTAGACAATTGTTCCAATGACATCGGTGCTTCGATGGCCCAATTGACCAACGTTCTTCTTCGCGCAGGCATCATTGCAATTCAAAGTCTACGAGTCGGCGACATGTCCCAGTGCCTTGGAGGAATGCTGATTGTGCCATTGTGATGCGTGACAGAAAACGCACACTGCCGAGGCTCAATAGGTTCACCACCATCGCACAAATTAAAGCGGGCCATAGCTAGGTTAGTAGTACGAGAAAGTAAGACATCTTCCTGGAGAGCCTATATATCTTCTCTTTCATTTCATACCCTAAAGTAGTTAGGCGAAAGGTCCAACAGATCGGAGGAAGACATTCCCCACTGTCTCTCCATGGACGTCTGATTAATGAAAATCTCACTTCTCCAGAAAACGTAGTCGAGGAATTGGTCTGTCACTATGAGAAAACCTTCGGTTCCTTGCACTACTCCCTTAGCTTCTTGAAAACGAAAGAGACGAATGGCAGATTGAATTTTTCAATTCGCCTGAACGTTCATTTCTCCATTGATGAATTTTCCTCTGCCTTCGCCCATGGGAAAGATTCTGCTCTAGGACCTGACAAGATACATTACCAAATGCTGAATTATCTAGTGAAAAAGGCACCTCGCATTTTAACCAGATTTGGATGGACCATACCTTTCCTATGACTTGACACCAATTCCAAATGAAGGAAAAGACAGTCCAAGCCCGTCAACCTAGCGCCCAATCTCACTCGCACGCTGTTTGCAAGTCTTTAGAGCGAACGGTGAACACGCGTCTGGTCTGGCTCCTTGAACAGAGAAACCTGTTTACACCCATCCAGCGTGGTTTCTGGAAGAGCAAGTCAACCATGTACCACCGTGTCACCCGTGCCGCACAGACCGCCACGTCAACACCTGGTAGCAATTGTCTCCGTTATAGAGAAAACACCACCCGGAGGCACGGCATTATTCACATCATATATTCTTTAGGGCCGGCTGCTCCTTTTTTAGTAACCTTTTCGACAAGACACTTCCGCGTCCGTCTTGGTGACAGGGTATCTGCCAGTCACCACTTAGAAAGCGGGGTCCCTCAGTGATTAATTATGTGTGTCACTCTGCCTTTGCTATCAATACTACAGCATCGACAACCTGAGAGACGGTGAAAGCTCTTCGACCTTGACGACTTTGACATTTTTTTTGCTCCAAGAGCATGCAAGTGATGAGAAGCAGTCACAACTTGTCCTCAACAAATTGCAGAAATGGAGAACAGGATTCACGTTCTTCACCTCAAAAACCAAATGCATGCACTTCTGCAGGATTCATCTTCTCCATTATCATATATAATTCTTAGGGGTCACAATCTTCCCTTCGTCGAATCCGTAACTTTCCTAGGCCTGACGTTCAAGAAGAGTTTAACATGGCGAAAATGTATTCAAAACTTGAGTTGATGTGTACCACTAGTGAACCTCCTTCGTGTCCTTACTGGTAGATCCTGGGTCGCAGACAGAGAATATCTCTTGTACCTAAATAGAACCATTATCCGCCCTATCTTAGATTACGGGTGTTATGTTAATGGGGCAGCGTTTCCGTCGGCCCTCGTGCCATTGAATATCATACACAATGCCGGTGAACAGTTCAACACAGGTGCCCGCACGAGCCATATTGAATGCCTCTTGCCCGAGTCGAGATATTGAAATCGGCTCCTACGATCCGAAAGTATCAGCTATAAATACTCCATGCCAAGGAGTCCTTCACCCAAGTCACAGAACATCGTACGCACTCACCTTCGTTACCCCATCCTCCGCGTATCCGCCTCCACACGCTTTTGCCGAAACTCAAAATAACATTCCCCATCCCTGTGAACCCCCCCCCCTAAGTATTGTTCCTCCTTGGAAACTTACCCGACCTAAAGCAGATTTGAGATTATCAAAATTTCCCAAATCCTCAAATCCCCCAGTACATTTCAAGCGGAACTTCAGGAGACGAAATCTATGTACCCCGCTATAACTTCATATAGGGTTCCTCCAAAAATAGTAAAGTAGGATTGCCTTTTACTGCCCTAGTGCCACGCGGAGTCTTCGAATATACTCTTAGTGCAGCGTTTATACTGCAGAGAAATATGCGTTATTGGAGGCAGTAAGGTCACTGAATCAATAACATTGAAGAAAGCAGTGATCTGCAGTAGTTCATAAGGCTCGCTCTAATCTATTTCCTTTTCTTCTTGTGATAACGAACCTCTATCATCAAATTCATAGGATATTGTTGCGTCGTTATAATTTTTTTTATTATAGCAGCAATGGTGCTAATGGTCCGCGGTCATTTTTGTCACCTCCTAAGAATCAACACCCACGGACGCAAAAACGAAAGATTCCCATGTTCTTTCCGATTCAACGTGAATGTTCTCGGAGCCTTCTTAGTCGCGGCGTCGCCAGCTGTGGTCCGGAAGACTGTTTTCGTCACCCTCTCCGATCAGAATGTGACCGTCCGAGACTTCGTCCGTTGTCGATTTTGGCTGTTCTTCGTGTAGACGCTCGTGAGATCCGCGTCTAGTTCGCGGCAATAGACCCCCTAAAATCCGCGTGACGCATGGGCGGCTAATCTCGGAGACACCCTATGTTACCACGTCGAAGTCCACCCTCATGGACCCGGATTGCGGGATTCTCAGAAACGTGGGTGCGGGGTTGGCGCATATACACACACTCCGCTCGCCACCGTCTCTAACAAAATTACCCA